GGAATCATTCCTGGATACCCTCCAATAATCTTCCTGTATACATCTTAGAGTTTCAGAACTTGTTTCCCAGGAAACTTGGTTATTAACCAACTTTTTCTGTTGGGTGTTATTTCTTTTGGTCCTTGATCATATGGTTTTTGTCTTATTGTATGACTGGCTATTTTTGATTGTTAGATATTGTATGTGAAAAATTTTAGAAATTTTGGATGTTATCTTGCTAGAAGTAGAGGATTCACTACTTCTAGCAGGAGACATTGGTAGCCTAGGAGCACTGGCTGCTCAGATCACCTTAAATCTGATCAAGAATCGAGATGATTTGGAGCTCTAGTCTGTGCACATGGTTCTAATTCTGGTTTGCCTTTCTTCCTAGTCTGTAATCCTATGGGGAGGGGGGTGTTGTTTAGTGCCGTACTGCCCCCTTCTCCATGGGCCCTGCAGTTCGTTTTTTTGTATCCTTAGCCCTGAGTCTGTCAGTGCTCTCTTCAGCACCAGTCTTTTAGCTACACTCTCCAAATTGACAGATGCCTCCGGGTGAAAAGTGGCCACCTGTTGGGCTTCTCCTAGCTTCCTTTCTTTCCCAGATCTTGGCATTTCTCTGTTGCCTTGAGTTCTCTAAGGCCTTGAAACAGATTAAGAATTTTTTATTTAGTTTTCTTAGTTCTCTGCAGAAAAGCTGTTTCAAACCACCTACTGTGTGTAAAGAAAATGAAACAAATGGTCTGGCTCCCTCAGCTGTTCGGAATCTTGCCGAGCATGACCTATCCTGTTTGATGTGAACTTTTTAACTGTACACGTGAGCCCAGGTGTTCCTTGGCTATTGTCTGACGAAAATACGCGTGGGCACCCAGGTGTTCCTGGGTTATCTGACTTAAGTATAAAGGACGAATGGCTCTGAGTCACAGTGCCCCCTGGATGCCTCCAAGAGGCCACGAGGCTGCTGCTGCTTGATCTGCTGCTGCTGCTGAGGAGGCGGGGAGACTGAGCTCATGTTCGAATGGAGCATGTCAACCTTGCCAGCAGTTCCCAGGATCTTTCCAATTACCTAGCTCGTGACCTGCATGTGAGGGGGTCTGTGACCTAGTTTGCATGCCATATGAGGGGTCTGTGACCTAGTCTGTACAGGACGGGTTTGAAGGGTCTGTGACCCAGTCTGTGCACGACAGTTTTGAAGGGTCTGTGACCTAGCCCGACACTGTGCTATTGCCAGAAACCATTTTCTGCTGTGTTGTTGTGGTATGATTTGTTTAACCAGTCTATTACTGTTGAAATAATGGTCTTATTAAAAAATAATTTAACTATTGCTGTGTAAATAATTTACATCTTTATTGCATAATTTTTGTGCCCATCTACAGTTATTTCCATATGTACACTTGAAGTGAAATTGTTGTGTTAAAAGTATGCAAAAATTTAAGGCTCTTAGTACGTATTTCTAAATTGCCTTCCAGGCCCTATACTAATTCGTGCTTCCTCAGCAGTAGATGAGATAAACTGCCTCTTTAATCGCTGTCTGTCAAATCTAACTTCATAAATACTTGCATTTTCTTCCCTCCTGCAGGCACGTGCTTTAACACCTCAAACCGCAGAAACAGATGCCATTCGGTTTTTAGTTGGGACGCAGTCTCTTAAATATGATAATCAGGTAACTATCTTTGACAAATGTATCAGTGCTAATTACTAAGCCTATTCTTAGGTTTATAACCGTTTTACTCTTAATTTTTCTAGCACCATTTGGGGTAAAAAAA